AAGGGTTGGGGCAACACAGGTTATGGTGACACGAAAAGGTTTATGCCCTTTGCAGGTGGAGAAGACAGTGGACATCAATGAGAACGGTCGATTTATGGAAGACCTAGAGATGCTTAGGACAACCAACGATGAAAGTGTGCCTAATTTCATGGAGGAGACTAGCCCAAGTCATTCTCAAAAAGAGTTGGGAAGTTTCAATCTCCGGGGAATTAGCAATCCCCTCGAACAACTAGGTTTATACATGAAGGCGGACGAGGAGGAAGAAGAAGAAGAACCTCCCCAAAGTGCTCCGGTGCTGGTAAATGATGTCGAGAAAGGTGAAATTGATTGAATTGTTTTCTGCCTGTGCTTGTTGAGTCGAATCTAAGGTTTGTTCGAAATTATGCATGCTAGAACATTCTTCGACACCATAAGCAAAAACCATACCTGTAGAGATGAAGATCGAAATCCTATACCTAAATATGGGACATAGGGTTTAAGTTGTTTGGTCAGTTGGTACTCTTTTTATTTTGTTTAGTGTTAAATCCCGGGTTTATGAAGCTGCTTGGTTGTATATATGTAGGCTTTTCTTTCTTAATTCAAATCCTAAACTAAATAATCTGAAAGCTTAAACATATTTGAAATTATTATTATTATTATTTGCTTATTTTTTTTATTTTAAACTAAATAAAAAAATGATCAATCTCGCATAATTGAGTAATTGCTCAATCTAAGTTTTAATTAATAAAGAAAATGATCAATCTCTCATATAATCCTGGAATATTAAGGATAAAATTGAAGTATTCCATTTATAATAAGCATGGCACAAAAAATTTATTTTTGTTGAAGTTTGAATATTTAAAGGATAAAATAGTTTTTGAATTTATTGAATTTTTATAAAAAAATAATTGAATGTTTGCCTCAAAAAATTTTATTTTTGTTCAACAAGTAATTGCAGATAAAAATTTATAACCATCATCTTGCAACTCTGAATACTAATATTATTTTTGTTTCACTATTCATGTAGATTTTGAATTCACTTAATTTCTATTATATTCATCACGAATTTATTTTATATAATATATTTATATAAGCATCAATTAAATAAATACAAACTTTTTTATTTAAAAAAATATTTATTTTCCGAATTCTCAACACGTATATAAAATTACTTTAACTATTTAAAGGGTTGGGGGCGTTCGAAAGCCCAGTGTGCAACTTCATTTGCTTCTCCTTAGTGAAAGCAATTCTAAAGCTAGGAATAGGATGCCGATTTACTAGTCTGCTAGCCTCTGAAAGGTCGATGGATGGGTCCGAAGAGAGATTTGTTAGGTGGTAGAATCGTCATCAATTTTAATTGATAAAATAAGATATAATGAATTAAAAAATCTTTACATGACAAATACAAGCAATATCTCAAATACAATGCAAGTACAAAAGTTTCAAAAATCAATCAACACAGGTATTATCAAAATTATTAAAGAAATATTTATTTTATACATACGTTTATTATTAAACGAGGATGTTGTGGGGTGGGGTGGGGGGGGGGCAAGAGCGGATAGACATTGAATGACATAATAATATACAGTGTTATCGGATATATTAAAAGATATTTAATAAATTCGATTTAGCACTATTATGTTGACAGACTAATAATATTTTAGGTAGAAAACATGAAAAACTATTAAAAAATTTGGCAACCTATAAACTTTGATTATCGGTAAATATCAATACATATATATAAGTGTCCATATTTATTTTACTGTGGAAAACATTAATTTAAGGTTATCTTTTAAGTGAGTTTTAAGATATTAATTTAGTAATTATACACGTCTAATGATTTATTTTTATGTTACGATATATATTATTATTAAATTAAAAATAATAAACATAGATATTACATATTTATTATTATCTTTGGTTAAAATTGTTAAATTTAAATTCTAAATAATATTTTATAAAATATCTAAACAATCAAATAATTTTTTGTGTAAATGAAATTATTAAATTAATATTGTAGGTAGAAAATATGAAGCACTATTAAAAATTTTTGAAACATAAATTACATAACTTTCAACAAATTATCGATACATGTACAAAAAGTATATATACTTTCAACATATTAGGTAGCTCTTTATCGGTTTTGTCATAATGAAACTGGTTTTGTCATATTTTTACCTGTTATATTGTAAAGTATCGATATAATTTTATAAAAAGTATTTATACTTTCAACATATAAGATAACTCTTTACCGGTTTTGTCATAATGAAACTGATTTTGTCATATTTTTACCTGTTATATTGTAAAGTATCGATACTTTCAACATATCAGGTAGCTCTTTACCGGTTTTGTCATAATGAATTTGGTTTTGTCATATTTTTACCTGTTATATTGTAAAGTATCGATATATTTTTATAAAGTGTCGACACTTACAACATATTAGGTAGCTCTTTACCGGTTTTGTCATAATGAAACTGATTTTGTCATATTTTTACATGTTATATTGTAAATTATCGATACATTTTTATAAAGTATCGATACTTTATAGGCGCTATTATTGTTTTTCTTTTAAATTTCAAAAGTGTCGATACTTATTTAAATGAAATCGATACTTTCAACATATTCGGTAGGTAGTTTAATGTAATAGGTAGCGCCTATTTTTTTAACGTTTACATTATTAGCAACCTTCAAAAAAACCGGTAGGTATTTTAATGTAATAGGTAACACTATTTTTTTTACTGTTTACATTATTAGCAACCTTCAAAAAAATCGGTAGGTATTTTAATGTAATAGGTATCGCCTATTTTTTTACCGTTTATATTATTAACAATCTTCAAAAAAACCGTTATGTATTTTAATGTAATAGGTAGTTTAAATTTTGTTAACATTTATTCCTAAGGTAAGTTTATTATAACTGATAACAAATTAAGTAAGTAATTACCTATTTTGTCACATAAGCGCTACCTAATATGTTATTATGTTTAATAATGTTTCTAGTAATTAACCGGTTATGTTATCTTTGGTAACATTTTATGTGTTTACCTAATATGTTGTAATAACAAATTAAATAATTAACATATTTTATTATATAAGCGTTACCTATTACGTTATATAAGCGCTACCTAATATGTTATTGTGATTGATAATGTTTCCAGTAATTAACCGGTTATGTTATCATTGGTAACATTTTAGACATTTACCTAATATGTTGTAATAACAAATTAAATAATTAACTTATTTTATTATAGAAGCGATACCTATTACATTATATAATCGCTACCTAATATGTTATTGTGCTTGATAATGTTTCCAGTAATTAACCGGTTATGTTATATTTGGTAACATTTTAGGTGTTTACCTAATATGTTGTAATAACAAATTAAGTAATTAACCTATTTTAATTATATAAGTGCTACCTATTACATTATATAAGTGCTACCTAATATGTTATTGTATTTGATAATATTCTCGGTTAAATGATATAACATAACCGGTCTACATTTTAACCGGTTACTTATTTAACCAGTCACGTCGTTTTTACCTGTTTTTTAACCACCACACAGCAGAACTTCCCGATAGGTGTGGGACGAGTACGAGATCAAACTCTAAACCCGTCCTACTAACATTCCTCATTATAATTATAAAAAATTAATAATAATTTTATAATTTTTAAAATTTAATAACTAAAACAATTATTTAAGTATAATTTAATGACTCTTAGGTGACGTTTGGTTTGCATGAATCCCTTAGAATTAGGGGAATTGGAATCCAATTCTACCACTTTCTCATGTTTAGTTCAAGTATTCAAAGGGAATTGGAATCCCTCATGGCTTTAACTTTCCATCCAATGAGGAAAGTGAATATCATCTATTCTATGATAGAATTCAATTCCCTTGTTGGAGGGAATTGAAATTTGACCATACTACACTCATCAATCTTTTGGTAACTTATTCATATATTGAATAAAATTATTTTTTTATTATTTCGGGTCGGGTCTGATTTCTAATTCATATATTCGGTTCGGGTCGGGTGAAACTTTATTTTGGTCGGGTCGGGTCGGTTTTTTTAAGTATGATATTCGGGTCGGGTCGAGTTCGGGTTAGGGTAAAAAATATTCGACCCGAAAATATATATAATTTTACCTTATATATTTAGGAATAATTACAATAATACCCTCTATATATAATTTTTTTCAATTAAATCACTGTTTTTTTTGAATAAAAATAATTTTTTTTATTATTTCGGGTCAGATTTCTAATTCATATATTCGGGTTAGGTGAAACTTTATTTTGGTCGGGTCGGTTTTTTTAAAGTGTGATATTCGAGTCGGGTCGAGTTCGAGTTTAAGGTGAAAAATACCTGATCCGACCAAAAAAATATATAATTTTACATTACATATTTAGGAATAATTATAATAATACCCCTCTATATATATATTTTTCAATTAAATCACTGTTTTTATTGAATAAAAATAATTTTATTATTATTTCGGGTCGGGTTTCTAATTCATATATTCGGGTCGGGTGGACCAAAAACCTGACCCATAGCCATCTCTAATTGGGATGATTTTAACTTATGATTTTTATTAGCATGATTTTTATAATTTATTAAAATGAATAATCAATCAATCAATAAAATTAAAATTTATTTTTTTAAAATTTTATAATATATTGATACATGTAATTTATAAAACAAACTAAAATTAAGCAAAAAAAAAACAATTTACGGCAATCCTGTCATTTTATATTACTGAAATCAAATTCATATGACATGCCTGCGAACCAAACAGAATATGAAATTGGGTTCCAATTCCTGACAGATTCTAATTCCTTCACAGATTCCAATTCTCTCAGAAACATTTCAACGAACCAAACGCCACCTTAATATATTTCATTATAATAAATAGTACGGTGAAAATTCAAGAAGTTTGTTGAAAGATCATTAAATGAATTTCACTTAACAAATCTCCTTCAAAACTACATCCAATATATCATTTCCATCCAAAGTAAACAATTAGACTATACCTTCAACAGTAACCCTTATTAAATAATAAATTAAAAGTTATTACTGTAGTCTAAATTACAAAATTAAAAGAAAAAAACTGGACCTTTAACTAAAGATGTGGTTACATAGCAGAAGAGTACCTGAATTAATCCCATATCGTTGGCTCCACGTTTCGAGGAGTAAAGCTTCGTCACAGTTGGGCTTTAGATAATCATCCAAATCCAACTTCATCGTCCTCTTATTTGAAAAAGAGATTTGGCTTTGGTAATTTCCACCACCGGATTCTGCAACATCTTTTGAAGGTCGACAGTCGCTAAATTCTGGGCTCCAACTCCCTCGGCTGCTGGTCGTCAACCGATCGCTTAGATCTTGCGCACTCGAAGCTTCCTATAGCATGTCAATGCAGTATACATATACACACAAAATCAACTCAAGTTTGCATTTCTCAGTCACTGTTGGTAATTGGAAGCAAACATCACAATGTTACTAGGGATGATCATGGTTTGGATTGAAATGAGTTATTAGCCCATCTGAATCTGACTCGGGTACAACACTCTTTCACTTGTCATCCGACCCAATTTTTTTGTTAAAAACCCACATCCGATATGATCTGACCCCGCTCGATACATATATATATTTCTCATTTTTATTAGGTAAAATAGAGACTTAATTGAAAAAAAATATAGATAAGAGAATATTATAATAATTATCTTTAAATATATAAAAACCAATTATATTAGTATTCACCCTAAATCTGAATCCGACCTAACTTAATTTTATCCTTTAAAAATATTTGATCCGATCCGATCTAAATTCAGTTTTTTGAATAAAAAAATAAAATCCTATAAGGTCGGATCAAATGTTCATCCCTAAATGTTACTAGGACATGGATTGTTAGATAAGTCCTAATATGCATCTTCAATGTTGTATCATATTTGGAAAATCATTTCATACCCATATTAGAAAATTAACCGAATATAGATGTTAGACATGAGTGATTCAAGGAAAATGCAGCTGGAGAAGCAACACCAATTCATATATCCGAATCCATTTCTTGTATAAATAGAATGGATCGGAATAACAAGTTAAGTACATTAGAAGTCATATGAACTATGTTAAATACCATTTTGATCACTAAATTTTTAAAAATTACAAAATGATCATTAAATTTATCAAACTACTATAAAATGATCATTACGACATTATAATAAATATAAAAGATTGATAAATATATTGATCATTCTATAACTTTTAAAAGTTAGGCGACCAAAACAATTATTTGAATATAGTTTAATGGCCTATAATGTACTTTACCCTAATAAATTTGAATATCCAACGAGGAAATGGATCGAATAGTGTTCGATATTCAACATTTTATTGTCACCTACCATATCTAAGTAGAGCATAAGATTACCTGGGAAAGATTGTGTTTATTCTTGCAAGGTGAAGGAGAACCACCGTTAGTAGTCTCCCACTGTAACCAAGGCAGATTTACACCATCCATTTCAACAGGGACAGATTTAAACGCCGCCGGATTCTGGAAAATCGGTGACTTGGTCATTCCCCCTATACTTGAACTAGTATCGCTCCTGTCTCCATCCAATGATGAAATATCTGTATCTTCAACATTAGAAATGAAATCATCGATGTACTTTCCGGCCTCCTCGGTCAATTGCTGGGACATTCTGTATCTGTCATTGCTCCTCTGGAAAACAATTTGTATGTTGATTAAACAATAAAAAGAAAGACCAAATCACGTTTCTTACAAAGAACATAATGAATTTAACAACAAAAATGGCGCCGGCTCGAAAATAACCATATAGAGTACAAAGTCATGCAGTATTGCAGCAAGTGTACAAGGGAGTTGTACCTTTCGGGCTCGTAATGGTTTCTCAACATCAGTGGTATTTAGCTCAGAAAGCTCTCTCCCATGCTGCTCCTCCAACAGAATCTTAGCTAATAAATCTTTTCTACGCTTCTCAGACTGTCCAGTTGAAAAATAAAAACCAATCACGAATGTTTTCAGGTATGAAATGCAGAGTTTAATTAAGTAAATAAATATCATCAAAGATTTAGAGTAACAATTAATATCATATTAATAATTATCTACTTGTCAAGCATAAACCATGTTAATATGCATGAAAAGTACTAGGAAAAGTTACTTTTCTCATGAAAAGCAACTAACATGCAACCTCATTTTTGCTTTCCAATAAAGTAAAAACCGGAAGAAGTATTGGTTCATGCTTATCGTAAACCAATAGTATCAAGTCAGAACCAATGTTACCTGGAAGGCGGATTGGACAAGTACGAGGAACTAAAACTGGAACAATTCGTTACTTCTATAAAACTGGAACGCGGATTGTTGCATAAATAGTTTAAGATATTACTTTGTACCTTTTCCAATTTTGTTGTACACTTCCTTCTAGCTGCAGAAACAGACTGATTTACATCAGGGTTGTCAGGCCGCAAGCTATTACCACTTATTATGCCAGGATTCTTTGTTTTAACCATTGACTGCATAAACCAAGATGACATCCAAAGATTTTAGCATACAAATTTATGAAGCAAATTACGCTCATGTTCACTAAAACAAAATTTTTTCAAACTTGTTCAAGTTGTGTCTTGATCTCTTCCACAGCATGTCTAAGCTCATTTCGCATTGCAGCATATAACCCACCATTCACATCATCCCCGATGGGGTGCTCCCCCTAGCAGGCAAGGAACACAAAGGGGTAAGATTTAGCAAAACATCTCCTAGTTGCTATTACAGAGTTATGATTTTTTAAAAGAGAGGAGCAACCTTTTTCTGCGCATAAACCGCTCTTATTGTCCTCTCCATCCCATTTTTATTGGAAAGAGCAGCATCCTTCCCTTCATCAGTTATAGCAGAAGAGTGACTCTGATTTCATCAAGTGAGCGAAACAAATTTGAAATAAATGAGTTCGAAAGATTCTAAAAGATATCTAGGTACAGTGAGGATTACCCCAACCACTAATAGCATCCTTGTATAAAAATTCCACACACCTAAATGGTAATAGTAAAAGTTAGAATGATATTTTTTTTCAAAGAGACAGATGATGCTTACAGAGTAGCCATCATGATACTTAAAGTCTTTTTGGCTGAGAGACCTTCTTAGGCCTTGTCTATCATTTGAAGCTGTTGTCTTATTAGCGGAGGATATCTGATTGTTTCCAACAATAGAACTCTTCATACTAGAACGGTTGCTTGAGTTCTGCGAATGATCTAGATCACTCTACCAATTTAAGAAACAAAAAATGCATACACAAAAACAAGTTAGTATTTTGATTATTATTCCTAGTACAATGAAAAATTAATAGGTTTCATTAAAGCCAACCTGTCCATTCAAGTTGATCAAGTGCAGCAGTACATTACTATCTGTTTTCACTTATCAATGATACTTCACCTTTTTAATATAACTACAAGAAAATAAACATATTTGACATGCAAAAATTCTAAAGTTCCTCATTTATTTTCATCAAATGAAACACAATTATACCAAAAATGATAAAAGGTTACCTTCTATTCAAGTATTGAAAATGAACTACTATTCAATTATAGAAAATGATTTATGATCTTAATCAAGAACATTTACCTACTATTCAAGTATAGAAAATGAATTACCATCCAATTATAGAAAATGATTTGTGATCTAAATCAAGAACATTTATACTATGTTATTCAGACTCGGATGTGAGTGTCTAAAATGTGTACATGTCTAGTACGGGTATGTTCAATTTTTTAAAGTTTTTCCACATACTCGAAAGGTCATATCCCACAACCATGTACGAAAAAAAATGTGTTTGACATGGGTGCCAAACACTGATATTAGAAGAAAAATGAAGAGTCACAGCAACATGGCATCCACAAAACAAATGCCACTGAAACAGCTTACAATTCTAAATTTGGAACATAAACTTAGCAATGACACTTGCTATACCATAAAGAGTTTGATAGTTATTGAATACTGGAAAGAGAAATCAGAAGTCCTTATCAAATTATCATTTTGGCCAATTTATTTAAACTTAAAATGAAGCAACGCTGTTGAGGAGATGTAGCAAGTGCATGCCACAAATGATTAAATTTTTGGTTGGCTTGGCCACATAAATTGATCTTTGGTTCCAAATTAAGCAAACGTCAAGCACAAACAAGCAAGCAGATAGTTATGTCCAGTCCCCAGATAATGTCTCATTACAACATTCCTATTTACTACATGGCAAGCCCCTTTATTATAGACTAAAGAGCAAATTAATCATTTTACTAGAAAAATGAGCAATTTAATCCCTAATTTCCTATATATTGAGTTTTGAAGCAAAGAGGTGAAATTCTAAATGGTGATAACCTTCAACTTGAAAAAGAAAAAAAAAATCTGACTTGTCATATGTTAAAATAATCTGAAAAAATAACATTTTTCTTTAATCGCGATTAGGCTAAACTGCTTATTTCATGTCACTTTAAAACACAAATCAATTGAAATCTACTACACTTATGGTTTTTACCTATTTGCCAATATAAGACCCACCAGTAAGTTTAACCATATTTATACTCCTAAATTAAACCACTAAGCATTTACACAACCAAACATACTGATATGACTAAAGAATTCATCTAAATAATGAGGTCACCGTCACGCATAAGAATGAAAACAACAGTAATGTAGATAACGACGATGATAACAATAGTACCTCCGAGTCGCTAATTTGATACCGAACAACAGAGACCGATCTTCTCCTCCTGGAGCTAGCGGTGTCCGAAGTTAACCTTCCTCGAGCACCGTTATTTACAACACTACCCCTGAATTCTTGCCTGGACACCGACCGTCCTCTTCTCTGATTCACATTCTCTCCTGCTCCTCCTCCTTTACCATTGTGTGGTGTGACGTCATCAATCCGTGAAGCGGAACGTCCTCGGAGTGAAGAGTCAAAGAGCTCGATAGCGAGATCATCGAGACTAATCTCTGGGAACCCCGCCCCCCTAACGGTATTAACGAACCTTCCCCTGCTCTTCGGAACCGGAGTCGCCTCATCGTCGCCGGATCCAGGAAGCCGTCGGGGGACTCTGCTGAGACTCCGGGTCTGGCGGTGGACGGAGGAGGAGGAGCGGTTTGAGTAAGAAGAGTCGTCGGGTGAGCTTGCGAGGGAAGCTCTCCTAGTTTTTGGCTTGAAAGCTGAAGTTGCCATTTGAGAAAGCAGATACAAAGGGATTGATTGGGGGAAATTTATTAGGGATTTAGAGAGGAAATGTTATGATCTTGAGGCATTTAATTTTGAATCTACCAAATCTAAAACGTAAGGAAAATACAGCTCAACCAGGAAGACACCGAAGAAGAGAGAACGATTTTGAAAACAATGAGGGACTTGGCGGAGTGATCGAAATTTGAAATACGGAGATTAAAAAGGAAACCCATAGAAGTTCAAAATTTACCATTAATCTTAAAAGTTTTTATATTTGGTTAGTGAGTCTGCATAATTCCCTTGAAGTTACAATTTTTTTTCTCTCGATTTCAAAGTTTTGTCAGGATTAATTTAGATAAATTCATGTCGTACATCTAATTTTAATGAATAAATTTCCTGTAAGAATTTTCTACATACATCAAAACTCAAACCCTTGGAAACTTTCTCATACAAAACCTTACTCATGAGTAAGATTGAACAATAAGCAAATTATATATCATGAAGTAAAATTTTATAATAAAAAAAAAGATGAGAGGAGAAACTTATTAAAATTGAATTCTAAATAAGATTAATTATATTTTAAATCAAAGTTTTAAAAATGAATTTAAAGTGAACGTCTCATATTGAAATACACTATTAAATAAATTGTCTATTTAAATTTTTTTAAGGATCTCTCCGTGATTAATCCCTTAAAAAAGTTTAGTTTTAATTCTAATACAATTATAATTAAATATTTTTTCTTTATTAAAAGTCACGATATCAATAATCTCTAGAGCATGTGGTTAAAAACTCTTAATTAACACTTTTCCTCTCTTTGTTGGTTAAATACGTATTAGAAGTAAAATTCTCGTTCAAATCCCCTAAGTAGGAATTGTTTAGAAAACATCATGATTAATGTAGGACTTTAATTGTTAGATACCCAGTACAATGGGTCACCATGGTAGATTTCTGAAACTGCTATAATTAACAACCAATAACTTTTAATTTAGTTTTAAAGCAAAATCAAGGTCTTATATTAATCATGATTTTTAATAAAAATTAATTTTTTTATAAGAGATTAACGACGAAGAGATGAATAATTTTTTTAATACTTTTTCAATAAGAATAATTTATTTTGTGATATATCTTGATGTATTATATTAATGAAATATTTTGATGTACAACGTTGAATCTAAAATTTTACCTCAACTTTCATTCAAGATCTATGATTGTTTTTCATAATAATATTAGTTTCAATGTTTGAATCTGAGTTCTCTTCGAAATCTCCCCTTATATCCTTCGAATTTTCCTACTCTAATTAAGGGTCTTGTATGAAAAATAATAATATTTGCCTGATTTGTGTAAGCTTTAGCTTAATTACTTAATTGCAAATAGGCAAAGAAATGAGACCAACCCAATATTATATAACCTTCGAATCATGGGAATAATCTGTGGCTCTGAAACATTCAGATCCTTTAACACCTAACTAACACAATTGAGTGAACTCGACTCGATTCTTAATATCTAGTCGAACTCATCCATAGCCTGAATCATCAGAGACGGACACAATAAGAACACAACAGATAATACCAATTTTGAAACTTTGGAAACTTCAGTAGCATAACATCCATTGGCCTAAAGAGGAAAGAAATGAAAGTGTATCAAAAACCATGATACGAGAAAACATTCAAAAGTATAAATGTATGTTCCCATGTTCCTTTGAAACTTGACAATTCTGTCATCCGTTTCTAATTCATAGGGCATGCTAAACTGATTCACAGATCGATTACGCGAGATAACTTCTGGATGCGATTCAATAAGAAGTCTCCTTGTTTGATGGTTGCCTGGTAGAGCGCATTCTTCGCATCGGGGCGATTAGTTTCGAGAACACCGGCAACCTTGTCGATCTTGCAGTGAAGCTTCCCCGCTGCAATAAACCGCGATAGCTCCCTGGAATCATGAAGAGAAACAGAACATTCATGCCAGGGCAGGCAATATAATACACCACAATGCCCATGTCCAGATACGGATGGGACAGGGGTGTTGGATACAGGAATTTAAAGAAAAATGAAGATTCAAAGTAATAGAGATTTTAGCAGCGATGAGAAGAAACAGAAAAAAGGAGTATAAAACCGAATAAGATAATGATTTAGTACAAACACTTACAGATCAATGAATTCAACCGACACTCTGAAAGCCTTTGCCATGGCTTCAATGGTAACACTCTTGTAGGATTCGAGAAATTGAGAATAAACAACAGTTCTGACCTCCTTCATGTAAAACCGAAAATGTGGGTGCAAATAACGGTCCAGTTTTATCTGCTCCGTCAAGCCAGCTGATATATGATTCGAAACAAATTGAACAAATCGATCGGTGAAAGAAATTTTAGCTTTTATCAAATGTTGAGAAAGCAGTGGGACTAGATAAGGCATAGATATTGGAACAAAGTGATAATTCTATAGCTATACATACCGAATGCTAAGAAGAATGATTTGTACTGACAATCATAAAGAGAATTTAAGAATTCCGAAAGATGCGGTATTTTTCCAATAACAGTCAAGATCTCAGGAGCATCAACAACCTATAACATTTAGCCATCAGTAAACCTGCCTGCCCCAAATATAAAGTAGTACAAGTCATACGACAACAATTTTGAGGTAAAAGTCGGAAGAAAATACCTTTTGTTTAAGGGAAACTCTATCCAACGATATGATGCTGGTAAGCACAGTGTAAAATATGAATGTCTCATAAGAGAAAAGCTCGTAAGTAGTGAAGGTTGAAATGGAATCCAAAAATAGATTGGTCGCCTTCTTGAAATTCCGAGTGGCCATGCAATATAAGCCTTCGTATACCTTCAAACGGTTCTTTCTCTCCCAGTCACCGCCTTCTTCAAATAAACTGGCATCAAAATAGGAGTAACAAGAAGTTAAAAGGCATACATCTCAAGTTCAGGAAAAGTTAGAATTAATGGGATATTATCAATCAATATGATTACATACTTCTTCGCTTTATCAATGCTTTTGGAAATAAGATCAAAATCCATGTAGAAAAAACCAATCTGCAATGTATAGAACACCAAGTCCATCTTTTGCCCAACAGCAACCGTCTTGGTTTCCGTCAGCTTTAATTGCTCCAGCGTTTTTTCCTAGATTCGTGATGGGTATGACCGTATGAGTTGAGTTGAAAAATATAGCACTCAAGTGTAACCATACGAGCAGACATCACCCTTTAAGAACAATAAACTACAGTTATTATTACCTTTTCACCAATCCGAATGTAATATAAGGATTTAGCTAAATGAGCTTCTCGAACTTCACTTTCGCCCAAGTTTTCTTCAGCATCAGCAATCCTAAAATGGCAACAGACATGCTTCGGTTGAACATAATTAAAGAAAGAAGGAAAACAACAATTCATCTGTCGCCAAGAAGTGTTTCTTTCCTTTTTAAAGGGGGGATCGAAGTGTTCAAAAAGTACTGAGATGTAATTGATTATATATTTTTTGTTGTCTAATTGACAGCATCATTAATCCAATACCTATTACCAAAGTTACTTGGGAATCGGATGTGTCTGATTCAAGGATACGTTCCACACAGGTATGTTCCATTTTCCCCAAGTTTTTCTACACATTTGAAGCAATCTTAGAAAACCATATCCTCATAGTCATACTTATGTCTGAATACATGTCCAACACGCAAGTCAGAACGACATAGCTTATTATCACCAGGAGAATCGGTATTCTTACAAAAGTAGAGAAATCAGAACCACAACTCATGCAATTGAAAATGAATTATGAGTTTGGAAGATGTAAATTCTTGTATGGATAGAAAAAATACAATATGTTTGACTTCATAACTCTCGCCAATGTTTTTAGTCCAAACAAGAACCATAACCATAAGTCACCTCTCAAGGTAACAGTTATTAAACAGAAATGTTTGATAAAAGGAAAGAAAATAAAAATAAAATTTAATCCACCCAATACACTTAATTAAAATCTCAATTCTTGAAAACCCTAATTCATTCAGAATTAGTCTCTTTCTCCTAACTTCTCTTTAGGCTAAAAGCTCTAAATTATTAGATCCCTGGAAAAATCCCAAACCTAAAATCTTGCACTTCCGATTAACAATTATTAAACCATAAAACCTAAATATGATAAATTCCGGTCAATCCTAAGTAATCAATAAGCAGACATGAAAAATTGAAAGAAAATAATAAACTGAATAAAATCTCACTTCTCGTCGATCTTCTTAATCTCGTCTTCATTCTTGGTATGCATCGAGTCCAAAACGCTCTGATCCAGCTCCACCACTTTATCAGCAACTAGGGTTTCGTAATATGGAGTCATTTCTACAGCCGCCGCCACAACCATGAAGAAAACAAGCGAAGAATTGGTGTTAGTTGAGCAAGAATAATTGACTCGGAAAAAATATAAGAGTTAAATCGGATGAGTTACCGTTGGATTTTACCGCGTTGAGGACCTCGTCCTTGAGGCGGACCTTCTCTATGTCAGGTACATCTGGGTGCTTGAGGAGGAAAACGTTATGGCCGAGTATGAGTTGCTGCGACTGCTGATTTCCGTCTTGTGCGTCCATTGGTGAGTAGATCGAGTGAAACCACTGAGTTGGAATGAAAAGAGTTATGCTTCTCTTTTCAGAGTTTGCTTGCGAGAGGAGGAAAACGGAACATAGGAGATGTCGGGACTCACCCGGGAGCTATATTCACATACGCGACGGAAATATTGCGCTTTTTTCTGAAGGTTTAATGACAAAGTTAGCCCCCAATATTTGTACGAAAAGTCATTTTGACTCTATTATTTTTTTAGCATTTTAGCCCCAACATTTTAATTTTTATGGAAATAGTCATTGTTAGATGGAAACCGTTAATTGACTAACAATCATAACATGTTATTGACGTAGCATCTTTATATGTATTTAATTAGTGATGTGAAACATACTACATTATCACTAAGTACTATGAAATTTTCAACAATATATATTGATCATTAATCAACTAATGATTTCCGTTCATCATGAATTATTTTGATAAAAAAAAGTAATACATTGAGATTAAAATACTCTAACAAATAGTGACTAAAGTGATAATTTGTTCAAATATTGAGAGTTAATTGTATGACTATATTTTTTATGAAAGTGCAAATAAGAGCTATGTGCTTGACTATAACTGGTTCAATTTGAAAAACTCAAATTTTATCGAATTTATTATTATTATTATTATTTGGATAAATTATGATAACGGTCATTTAATTTTTTACACGCTATCAATTTACTCACAAAAATAGGTTTTAAGGATCATTTTGCTCCTTAAGCAAACTAAATCTGAATGTTCTGATTGTTTTAAAATATATCCATCTTCGAAATTATTTAATTATATCAATTTTATTATTTAACTAACATGAACGGTTACAATACTATTAAGACAACTAATAATGTTGACATGGTAATTCATTGCGTTGACATAACAATCCAAGATATTAATGTGATTGTTTATATATACATGATGACGTAACACATGGATTGAGTTAATTTTCAGTCAATTTTAAAGATATTATTTTTTAACCGAATAATTTAGTTTCAAAATTTTATTTAATTAATATAAAAAATATATTATAATTATAATAGATATAATATTAAAAATGCCTCATTACGATTGATTAAATAGTAATTTTGACTCTATTATCTTTTTGAACTATTTTGGCTCGCAATGTTTTATTTTAGGGTAAAAAGGTCTCTATTGATAGAAAATGTTAGTCAATAAATGATCAACACTCTAAAATAAGAGTCTTTTGCCTTAAAATAAAATGTTGGGGATTAAAATGCTTCAAAAGTAAAAAAAAAGTGACTATTTAATCAATCATTAAGAATCATTTTATCCTAAAATAAAATATTAAACTATTTTTCTAAATAAGTACCAAATTGATTATTTTATCAAATATAAATTACATTTTTTAGTATCATACCCTTATAAAATTAGGATGGAATAAAATTGGATTAATTTCACAGAACATATATCGGTCCGGCCCATATTCCCTTGGATCATATAACATCTATATCTCGAGCCGGTGTTAGGAATTCTCTTCATCTTCACCACCACTCCATTACGTGATAATCTCGTTGCTGTTCATCAAGTAATGCTCAAATCTAGCCTTACTCCAATCTTCTCCACTTTTCCAGCCAAACCCAATTATCCAAGACTCCTTTTCCGCGCAATCAACGCTAATTTGAACACCGCTCCAACTGTTCGACAAAATGCCTCACCCAACATCTTCACAACCACTCAACTTGCTCCAACTTCGGCTTACATTCACCTCCCTTTCTGTCGAAAACGCTGCTACTACTGCGACTTCCCAATCGTCGCTCTCGGCTCTCACTCACCAACACAAACCAATGACGACGACGATCCCCGTATATCAAACTACATCCAATTACTACTCCGAGAAATAAATGCTTCCAAAGTGAATTTCAAGTCCCACCAACCACTTGAAACCGTCTTCTTCGGTGGTGGAACGCCGTCCCTCGTGCCACCGAGGTTGGTTTCATCGATTCTTGATTTGCTGAGAGTGAAATTTGGGGTGACTTCAGATGCCGAGATATCAATGGAAATGGATCCTGGAACATTTGACTTTAGGAAGATGGATGATTTGATGGCGTTGGGAGTGAATAGAGTGTCGTTGGGAGTTCAAGCGTTTCAAGAAGAGCTGTTAAAGGCTTGTGGGAGAGCTCATGGAGTTAAGGAGGTCTACGAGGCCATTGAGATGGTGAAATCGTGTGGGGTTGAGAATTGGAGCTCGGATCTCATATCATCTCTTCCTAATCAAACTCCACAAATGTGGGAGGAAAGCTTGCGGTTAATCATTGAAGCTCAGCCAAACCACGTCTCTGTCTATGATTTGCAAGTTGAACAAGGCACCAAATTTGGGACATTGTAAGCATTACTATGATACACGGATTCGGGTGTATGTTTGTAGAAATATTTAATTTTGGAGCATATATCTTAATATTAAAATCCTTGTAGGTACACACCGGGCGAGTTTCCTTTACCTTCAGATGTGCAGTCTGCCGGTTTTTATAGAATGGCATCAAGAATGCTTTCAGATGCCGGTTATAACCATTACGAAATCAGCAGTTATTGCCGAGACGGATTTGAATGTAAACACAATTTTACATACTGGAAAAACAAACCATTTTATGGTTTTGGCCTAGGGTCTGCTAGTTATGTAAATGGAATGAGGTTTTCAAGACCCAAGAAAATGAGAGGGTACATCGATTTTGTTCAGAGCTTGGAGAATGGCACGGCTGATTACACCGGGGATACCAATATGGATGTCAGAGACTTGGCTTCAGATGTTGTGATGCTCTCTCTTAGAACTGCAAGAGGGCTCGATTTGAAGTCTTTCCGATGTGCATTTGGGAACTCGTTTGTAGCTTCTCTTTGTGAGGCTTATAAGCCTTACGTTGAAAGTGGGCATGTGCTTTGTTTAAATGAGCAAAGAACAGTTTTAACTGCAGATGAATACAATGCCATATTGTTGGATGAAAATAATATCGGACAAGGATTAGCTTATATTCGTCTCAGTGATCCGGATGGCTTTTTATTATCAAACGAATTGATATCTACTGCATTTGGGGTTATTTCTCCTAGAAGTTTGAGTTTCAAATGTCAACTTCTTTTATGGTTTGTGTTGCATTTGGGTTATTGCTGCAACATAGATAGGTTAGTGAATAGAAGACTATGATTTCAGCAGCAAAGGGGGAAACCATTGCCTAAATTTGGAGAGTGGGATGTAAACAATCCAGCCACAGCTGTTTACAATAATATTCAACAAAGCCAGAGATGAGAAGAAAACCAGAGCCACCGTCAATGTCATGTCATCTTCTTCCTATAAAAAATCCCGACATTCCCTCATCTCCTCCTACTCCAAGGTATTATATACACATAACACATACGCATACAATATGTATACGTAAGAATTAATTTTACTTGGTAGTTCAACTCTTAAATTTTATTTCTTCCTTTTTCTTTTAGTAAATGGTTTTGCTGTGTTGGGAGTTCAAGGTTTCATTGGGATGATATGACAATTTAGCCATAAATATATGCCTGGTGTAATGGAGAGTTAAATCCTCAGTTATTTTTCATCCAACACTTTGATGTCAACACTTATATCTTAAGATCAACTCTAATACATATTTGAAGTTGGGATTTATGATTCCTGTTTAAGATGGTAACACCAAGCTAGGCCAAATAAAAGGATGAGTATGTTGGCAGTATCTGAGTTTTGCAGATTGCCTTTGTCGTAACTGGTTTTCGTCCGGGCACGAATTTTTTTACTTGGCGGAAAAAGTGATGTTAATAAATGGTTTTTTTAAAAATAATTTAGGAGTCGCCATCGGCCTTTTGGGTCAGGTAGGTCGAATACCTAAAAATTATCTTTTAAAAGAGTTTTAAGAAAACATCAGTTAAAAGATAAACTGATCTGCGTTTATAACCAAAAATTCGTTCTTTAAAAAAAGATCGTTACGTTTAGGGAAGGATTAGCACCCCTACAACGCCCAAAATTGGTACTTTTTAATTAAAAATTGTCTCTAATAATAGAATTTAAGAATTCAAATTTTTAATTTATAATTCTGTTATCTCAAATTTATTACTATATTTTTAAGAAAATCTATTAATTTATATATATTTATAAGTAAAATATTTATTTATTTGAAAATATCAGAAAAGGGCTTCTAGGTATCTTAAGACAACTCTTTTCTTTGATATTAAAAAATAAATAAATAACTCAAACATTTAAAAAATTTATTTTAATATAGTAAGATATTTATTTATTTAAAAATATTTAGAAAAGGACTTCTAGTTGCTTTAAGACAGCTCTTTCCTTCAACATTAAAAAATAAATAAATAACTAAAATATTTTCTTAAAATAATAATAGAATAAAATTTAAACATATATAGTTCATAAATAAGATTTTTATTTCATAGAAAAACAAAATAAATAAATATTATTTATTATATATATTTATATGACTAAGATAATAATAAAATAATAATTGAAGCAATAATTGAAATATAAAAGTAATAATAAAATAATATTGCAAATAAATAATGATTAAAAGAAATTAAAATTATAAATTAAATTGTAAAGTATATAAAATAAAAAATAAAAATTATCGAACTATTATAAAATAAAAAAAACATTAAGGACTAATTATGGTATTGGCCCTAAATATATATAGCTAAAATAATTCAATGCAAAAGCAGAGATTTGGTTTACACGATTGAGGGTAAGTATACTTTTCCATTTAATCAACATCAAAAGTCTTATAATAAAACAAAAGCACTTTTTCAACTACAACTATTTTAAAATTAATACGTGATTTAAGGAAAGGTATATAAGTAACTATAATTTAAAGTATTGGAACATATAGTGTAATAAAAAAATTAAAATTGCAATTTAAAAGTGACTAAAACAAATAAAAATTAAAACAATAGGAATAAACTGTAAAATATCAAAATTTAATGAACATAATTCAAATTATTATAAAATTATAATTACTAATAGTGTAATTAGCCCCTAATTACTAATATGTGATTAAAATAAAACTTAATTAAAATTAAAAGCTTTAACTCAAAAAAAATAAAAAATATAAGTGCTAATAATGTAATTTAGCCTTATTAATTATTGAGAATTTAAAC